AAAAAGATTTTTTAATATAGGCCTATATATTTTGTTAATACACATCTGGAATAACATAGAGAGCAGTTGACTATACACAGACAGGTAAAAAATTTGCACTAAGTGCTCAACTCTGCGAGATAAGCACTTTTGTGCAAAAAGTGACAATGTTGAAAAGTTAAATCAAAATGTTTTTTTTTTTTTTTTTTTTTATGAGAGATAGAATTTATCGAACATTTATCTATAAAAACAAGATTAATATTGTAGAAATCGTATTTCTAAAGATGCATATAATTCATTTTTCATTTGGTAGACAATAAATATTCAGTAAGATATATTGAAAACGATTATTAATTCTGAAATGTGCATCAAATCTCAGTTATTATTAATCAGTATGTATTTTGTTATAAAGTCTTAAATAATAATTTCGAATTTAGGCCTAGTTTATAACAAATAATTGTAATTAAAATGTAGGTTCTCATGATGTCAGATGACGTATTAAATATGATGCTATATTTTGGGCTCTGACTTAATTTAACGATGGTCCTGTCAGTAGTAATGACAATATTTTGTGCTTTTTTTAGCCATGTAGTAAAATAGTACTATTATTTTCAGTGTAAAAAATGAGAGTTAAGATGAACTAGTAGAAGAAGAAGAAGAAGAGGTAGAAGAAGAATAGCTTTTTTTTTTGTTTTATAATAATAAATTTGTTAGGTATTGATTATGCAATGAGGTTTTTTTTTTTTTTCATATCTTTCGGTGTGATTTAAACATGCCAATTGACCCATTAAACACAAAAACTGCTCTGGCTTCGGGGGCTTCGCCCCCGACCCCACCGTGACCCTTAGGCAGGCCCCTGGACCCCACGTCCAGAGAACCCCCCCTTGAAATGACCTGGCTACGGGCCTGCGTATGATGACGACGGTAAATTAATTGATGTCGGCCCTTCGGCACAAATATAGACACGAATGATTCTTTAAATGCGTAGGGTGTCTCAATACCGAGGTTTACATGTGTTACAAAAATAGTTTTTTATTATCTACACTAACATTGAGGTATAACTAAACGTGAATTTGACCGCATTACGCCTCACATCATTAATAAATTGTTGGAACACTCAGCAATCACTGTCACATTTGCTATTCAACGGACTTTGTGACGTCGTTTAACATTTATCTGGCATTTAAGAATGAACGTGATTGGTGACGCTGATGACGGAATTATCTCATCGTTTGACTCTTTAATGACGCAATTCGCGAATCAGTTTAATTTCAATATTTGACAAGAAAAAATATATCATATTAGTTCATGAAATTCAAATTTCACTGTAACATATGTTTCATTGACCCCGTAATGCTGTACTTAACTCACTAAAGCCAGTAATCCATCCCGGGCGCTAAATCCAGAGCGGGTGCTCATCAGGGTGTGCTGAGCTGATCTTAGGTTTCTCGAGCGAATAACCACTTAAGAGAAATATAAGTGACCTACTTGTTACTTTGGTGTGTTCTATCACGGAAATATTTTATTGATGGGTGAAATTTCTGAACTAAACTAATCGATGAATCTTGTTTTCAGGCGGAGTTGTTTTCGTGAGCAAATGTATTCATCATTGATCGATTGACTGATTGATTGGTTGATTCATTTATTCATCTTTATTCATTTTCATTTATTCATTCATTCATTCATTCATTTCGTTCGTTCAATCATTCATTCTTCCAATCATCATTCATTCATTCATTCAAAAGTTGTATTGACAATACTGTCAGTGAAACTTAAAAGTAAAATGATCGAAACAGAAGTTAAATTGAATTAATTATGCAACGTAAACATAATAATAATTATGAAATTATAAAAACATTTGAAATAAAATGCACTCACCAACATTGCATTTTTATCATTAAAAGCGCCGCGGCTTTCAGGCACAATTTTTTTTTCCGGCAACATGGACTACCGGTACGTGACCGGTAATCGGCCGACGCACTTCGCCGAACGGACCATTTTCGTTCCATTGCCACATTCTAAAACTGTGATGAGTGATTCCTCCTTCATACTTAGTGGGATTATATCAGTTGCACACAAGGTCGTATCCTGGCGGACAACGGACACTTACCGGCGTAACGAAGATCCCTTTAGGGGCGCCGGGGACTCCTTGGTGGGGGTTTGGGACCGTTCCGGCGTTTTTTAGCGTTCTATTTTGGCTTAAAATGTTATATTCGTTAGTAAAAAAAAATTAATTTGCTGGAGGCCCCTTGAGTCCCCGGGGCCCCTGGCTTTAGTCAGTGAGAGCTCATAGCCGTTACGCCACTGATACGGAATGATACAGTATTGTCTTAGCGCCCCATTTTATCAAAGTATTAATAACTTCACATTTGTTTTCTTGAGGTCAGATATCATGTCTATGGAGGTTTTTGTATGATCGGAAAGAAATGCAAGAAAAGAAAGAGGGAAGAGGAGGGAGAAGGAGGGGAAAGAGAGTGTTTATCCAGTCCCCGACCGAGTTACATTTTCTCACAATTCACATTGGCGTCGGGAAAATTAAAAAAAAATTTCTAGAGCTACCTTTTCAGGGCCCGTGAGCTGATTTTTTTTGTTACAGTAAGAAACTTGTAAGTCGGGAAAGCTAATTTCCCACCATCTAGGAATCAACATTTTCTCGGGGGGGGGGGGGGGGGGGGTTCTTGGGGTTCATTGATTCATGGAAAAAGAATACTTATGCAACGTATGTATACCGGTACACACATAACTGGCCTATTTACTGTAATAAGAAGGAAAAAGTTTACCTGACCGTTTTCAAGAGGGGAACTTCCTTGAATTTTGAAGTACTTAAAATTAATTAAAAGACACCTAGCTGAAAAGTCGGGAAAGCTCATTTCCCGCCATCTAGGAATCAAAATTTTTCCTGGGTTGACCCCGCCCCACTAATTTGAACCCAGTTCCCCCACCCCCTCCGATTCATATTCCATTCATCTTACTAGGTCCCCCACTTTGAAAAACGTTACTTCTTCGAAATTCAAGTCCTCCTCTTGAAGAAGGTCAGGCAATTTTTCTCATTCTTAAGCTCAGACATAGGAAATATATTATTTTATTTCAACAATATTGAGTACAGTATTTGGATGAGTAGTCTTTCCTCCAATGATCGATGAACCGATAGGCCTGAAGAACGCACTTTCGTTTCGTACATAAATTAACTTTTAATTAATTGAAGGCTAGTTGGGCTAGGCCTACATACGATCTGCCAACCTATGATTAGGTGGTAGATCATGCGTTTTTTTAAAAGCCAGGACCCAGTAGTATTTTGTAACGTTTCTTCACAGAGGGGGTTCGAGAACTCGGGGCTTCGTTAGAAGTTCAATTCCAACTTTTCGCATTGGGCACAAGCCTAGAATAACTCTAGTTCTAATAATTGATCATCATTAAACATTCATTCGTACAATTAATGTTAAATCCAAATTATTTAAAAAAAAATGTATAATGTATAATCTAAATTAAATTTTAATGTGTATTTATTATAGTTTTAACATTATTGATGTTTACCAGTACTTAAAATACATTTATTATTAATTTGCATTTTATCGTTAAAACGATTATTATGTTATACAGTATTATGATTATGTAGGCATAAGAAGTTCGAACGTGTATTTTTTTAGATGAGTACTTGATTAGCAAGGACACAGCCTTGCTGCAAAACAACTTTTTAATTTCTGTTGAGTTAAGTTTAACCGTGAATAAAGAATAAATATTATTATTATTATTATTATTATTATTATTATTATTATTATTATTATTATTATTATTATTACAATATATAGAGCACAGGTGGGCAAAGTGTGGCCCGACAGTGATTTTTTGCGGCCCACGAAAATGAATTAAAAACCCTATGTGTGCGGCCCGCCAACCACCTTTGGTTAGAAAAACCCTGTTTGTTTTTTCGTCCAGATGCCTATTAGGCCTATCTGTAAAATATAATATTAAAGCTGAGCAAAAACCCTACAAAAAAGTGTATGAAGATTTTTGGAAGCGCACTGGATCGAAGTTTGGGTGCGGCCCTCGGTGTTAAATTAAAAAAAAACTACTTTGGCCCTCCGACCAATTTTTATGCCCACCCCTGATAGAGATAACTCTAAACTGTCTTGCCGTAATGCTAGGCGCCAGTGGGCCTCGTCGGGCAAATCTTGGCGCCACCCCTGGAAATTAAAACCGCGTTAAACTGCGATCGCACTAGAGATGTGTATAAGAGGGGTCACTTAGAGTGCAAACTTTAGTAGATAAATGTTTATAGATGTTGGTAGTCAGAAAATATAACAGGAAGCTGTCTTGTAATAACAGTGACATGGCCTTTAATCCCCAACCTTTGGGAGGAGACACTCTCACCCATTTATTCCTCGTTTAAGTTATTGTGATCTACACAATAGAACTTCCCTGGCCCTTTCTCTGGACCCCCCCCCCCCTGAAAATGTCTGGATCCGCCCCAGATATGGTGAACCGAAACCTACTGAATAAACAGTTAAAGCAAAGTGCTACTTTTGCTTTTTACTTTTCTAAGACGAGACTTTTTACACCTTATAATAATTTAATTTATTTTTTAAAGATCGTCAGAGGGCGGCGGAAAAAATAAGAATAAAATTTTTGCTTTCTTATTCAGAAAATGGTTTGCCAAAGAAACATGCAGACGGAGGAGAAAATGAAGTAGTGTAGATTTCCATTCTTCGTGGCGGCAGGGGGTGCGCTAATTGGCCAAAAATAAAATTTTATTTTCATTCTAAATCATTATTATTGGCGGGCAGCAGTTCATTTATATTTTTTTTTCTGCTTTTATTTTTGATAGTTACTGTAAAAAATATGCAATAAATGCCTGGGAAAAACGCTCAGAATTAAAAAAGACTGAGTTAATTGGAAAATGGTTTAAACCTAATGTATTGTTGCTTTATTCAAACGGAGGCGCTTATTCAAGCGAGTACGGTAACTACATTCTGTGAGCACATAGAGAGATAGAAGCTATGGTGTAGCTGCTAGCTCTAGAAATAAAATAGAGGGCGCTGTTACAGTTACCAAATCGTGCTATTTTTAGGCAGCGAGCATTCACCTTATAAAAGGGCGTCGTTCCTTCATTGAGTTGTGTCATGCGTGGTTCATGGTGCAAGCGTACTGGAGTTTGGAGATAGTAGTGGAGATACTGTGTTTAGATTCGTTTGTTAACAGCTTATAAACTTTTTTCTGAGGACGGAACAACACACGATAATATTTTTATTTGGTTATTTATGCAATACTGAAAATATTTGGCCCTAAAGGACCATACAATGACGGAATATAAGCTGGTTGTTGTAGGAGGTAAGCTTGGCCCAATTGGCAAAAAGAAACTAAATTTGCTGTGTCTCCCTCGTCTCTGTAGCGGTCAGCGGGCGTCCACCTACCTAGAAACTCGTGTTTACAAATCTATTGTGTGGGCCTGAAGCTTAACTAGTTGTGACTCACAGGGTGTATATGTGTTCATAATAGCTTACTGTTCCAATATTTGAGAAATGCATTATAACGCTACTTCCCGAGACCAAATAAATGTTAAATTATCTAGCTAAAGAGGTTTTTCCAAGCATGATTCTTTTGTTAGGCTAGGCCTAGCCTAGACCCCTAACTAGGCATAGGCCCCTGCCTAGGCTAAGCCAAGGATTGGCCAGGCTAGACAGTGGCCAAGCCTAGCTAGGCCTAGCTACAATATACAGCAGTCTCCATTGTTTAAATAAGATTTTATTTTTACAAATGTAGGGACATCGCAGCACTCGTATATTCGTACCCCATGATTTTAAAGTTGCCAAATTGCACAAAATGTCCAATTAATCACTCTTATTATGTAGGCCTGCTACAGCAGTCCAGTAAAAATTTGTTTGTTTATCCAAATATCATGACACTAGCAAAATATTTTAAAGTTTTAACCTTCTTGGTTCTCATCTTCATGATCATTGGTTGTTTATGCTACAGCAGGCTCTGTATATGTAAAGTAGCCTCTAAGCCTATGTTAAATGGGTTTGCAGAATTACCAGAATCTTTATATACTATATATGCAACTTCAACAATATATTTGATGTCTACAGGTTTAATGCTAAATACAGTTAATTTTATGAAATTTCAATAATCGTTTCATTTGATACAACGTACCAAACTCCGTTATAACAAGAATTAAACTCTATTTTAGATGTATTTCTAAGTTGACAATCATTTTTGGATTAATTAGCACCAGACCAGGTGGTGGTAACATACACTGTAGACACATACTCAAGGTACATTAAGTGATGGTATGCATCAAAACTTGTTGGGCAATGTCAAGACTTTCTACACACTGTAGGGCATCCTGCTCACCAACACTAAGTTTAAGCTCACATTTGTTAATTATGTAAATGCTGAGCAACTTTAACATAGGCTTACCTCTTGCCAACAATAGGAAATATAGTATACAAATTAATCATACCACATGGGTAGTAAAGCAGGCACATCCATTAAACTGAAAGAATCTCAACCATCAAAATCATTATATACATACTAATTTCTCCATGGTACAACATAGATTCCACAAGTGTCTACATCGGGATCCTCTACATCTGATCCACTGTTCGGTAGAGTAACTGAAACAGCCTGGAATATTTTATGCGATCACTTTGAAAATTCAGATCACAACTTGTGACTTACTTACACTTGGTCGGCACCAAAGATTCACCATCCCAGTCTGAGCTGAAGGAAAACCAAGATTGCTGCTTTCATTTATCACTCTACTTGCCAGGCCCACTAGCCTACCAGGCTCATTTGTTTCTGCTTGAGCCTGCACCGATGCTATACCGTCATGTTAACTGCCTGTTTCACTTTTGAATGTAACAGTAATATAAATTGTTTGAATATACCAACCCACCTCTCTAGTCCAACAATTCAAAGTCTCATACTGAATTCACCATGAATTTATTTTTGTTGCTAATAATACTTGTTGTATTTTCGATACCCTGGTGGTAATCTGTCCACAGCATAGTATCATTCCAAACTGACTGAGCCAAATTTCCACTAACAAACACAATGTGTTTTAATAGTATGCAAAATACCTTGCAACAAAACAAACAAAAGGAGTTACATGGTAGGTAGTACAGTAAACTACTGTGGCAGCTTCACTACCCAATTGTGACATACAGTATTGCGCATTTTTAAATAGTTTTTGCATAAATTTAACAGAAAATTAGGTAGAAGGAAAAAAATTGTTACTGTGGCTGGCACATGCCATGCTATGCATGTCGAAGTGAATGAACCAGTCCATCTTTCTGTCAATGTGTTGCACCAAAAATAGATTCTTGTCATTTGATGTTTTTCTAAAAAATAAAGTTTAGTCATCCTTTGTTCTGAATGGAATAGTCCATTTTCTTTTCAAATTCAACAAATGAAAACATTGCATTTTAGGTGGAGGCATGCATTGGCATGAACAAAATGAATTAAAAAAAAAAAATGAATAAAAAATAATTGATTAATGGTCGACTTATAGAGCGCATTGTTGAGAACTAAATGAAAGTTTAAAAAATGATTAGTTTGCCATTAAATGGTGTGATTAGCAATGACAGATGATATTAAATCCACCAATCAAATTTAAAAAAAATCAAAATTGGTGGCCCTTCAAATAGTCACTTTTAGATCGTTTATCATGGACCATTATGACCAAGTTTGACAAATTTCTGATAAAAATGTTAGCTGAAAGCTGTTATGTAACATTGATTGTGACCTTGACCTTTGACTGTGATCCTTCAATATTTAATCACCCCTAGATCTTTTGTCTTGGAGTTTGAGAAGTTTCTGGTAAAACTGTTCACAGACAAACACACTAACAGACACACAAACCAACAAATACTAAGCAGGGGCGAAAACATCCTTGGCATAGGTAATACCTGTAATAATAAGAAAAGAAATTTAGTTTTAAGTTTTGTCTGTTAGGTATAGTAATAATATTTATTTGGCAATCATCAAGTACAATTTAAGCCCGGAGTGAGAATAGGCACAAGCCCAAACAGATACTGCACTCACTCCACCTTATACAAAAATGAACTGAACACCAATCAAGTTTTGTAATTATACAAAAACAAAAATATAAAAGCACTAAACAAAAAATTACAAACAAAATACAATAAAGTACAACTAATATTGTAATACTAGTAGTACAGTATGAATGTATTGTTTATTGAATAAGAAGACAGTAAAAATAATTTTCAATAATAATAATTCCAATAATTTTTATTCCAATATCAAACAATACAATTATCAGCAAAAGAAATACAAAGGTAGTAGATAAAGGAATAGGTTACAAAATAAGCAAGAAAAATGCTTTAAATATGTAACCCTGCAAAAAAAAAAAATAAAAAATAAAAAAATTTGGTTTTGCTATTTGGCTATTTATATAAGCCTCGATCTAACTTCAGTACAATGCAGTTACCTGTTTCCAAAATGCTGGTGGCCAATATAGAATCTAGTATTCTTTTCTTTTTGTTTCATTTTATATCATTGAGAATGTTATTATATATAAGTTTTCTTTCTTTCTTTAGCTGGAGGTGTTGGTAAAAGTGCACTTACTATACAGCTGATCCAGAACCAGTAAGTATTAGTGTAGTATCAAGTCGTAATAATTTAGGCTCACAAAGAAACAATTTCTCACACAACCATCTGTTCAAGTCCCATTGCCTGATGCAGCGCACTGACATTCTTTACCATACAGGCACCATACACTGAATAAATGTAAGGTTAATGGATAATAAAAGGAGTTGTAGCTTGGTGCTCAGCTGCTAAGTTCCAATCCTAGTTAAAAAAAAAAACTTAAAAAACTGTCCTATAATAACTTACACACTATTGAACCCTTTTCAAAAGCTTAAAAATTGTAACCTGCCAAGACAGTTAAGCACTGTACTACCAAAGCAATTTAGAGTGCATCATACTTTATTTAGTGAATAGGTATAATTACTGGGGAACATGCTATTAAAAAAAAAGTAATATCAAATTATTCTAAAGCGCTTCTATATGACGTCAGATGATGTAGCCATTGACCACAACACATACCTGTAGATCCAGGCCAGTTCCTCTCTGTTGTACAGCAAGCTAATATTAAATAAGAAAAGCGTAGAAGCATGGATTGTAACGTCTGAATTTGTTTAAGTGAGAAAATATCGTGCTGAACACATGTTACACCTCCTGCTTGACTTCTTTTTTTATTAGTAAAAACAATTCTAATTAGAACTGATACTGTAACATCTTCACATACACTATAATTTCTAAGCATTTGCATTTTAGTAGTTTAGGCAGAGACAGTGTTATGCTGGATCAAGGAACAACTTAGTATGTGCAGTGTTCTCCCAAAGCCGTCTTAGCCTTCAATTTTACCTGTAAAAAGAAACCCCCAACCAATCAGGCCAGACTTGGCCTGTATAATATGTTGATCTTTTTAAAGTTAAATTACTTAAGGATTTAGGGTATATGGACCAGTAAACATTTTACGATTGGGAGAACGCTGATGTGATTCAAAGATTTACTTACACCTTATTCACTTTCTACAGTACTAATACAATACCAGAAAAATGTTAATTCTTAAGCTTTCTTCATCTACTAAACCCATCACTAAAAATATAAACAAACCAAAGATAATTTCTTTTTGAAATTATATTCTTATTTATAATTTATGCTATTGTTATCATTTGCTGTTATAATTTGTTATTTTATTAAATCATAATTAAATAAGTGTTAAATTGTGGTTAATTATTGCTTAATTATTTTGTAGACATTTATTTGAATATTGTTTTTCTTTATGGAATTTTTGCAATTGTAAATTATGGCAATAACAATGCGACGGTTTAATCGGTACTGTAAGATACAGATCTCTGTTTCTGCTGGGGTTCTTGTTGATGATACTATATACTGTACCTTGTAACAAAAAAATTCACTTTGTTGAAATCATCAACTTGATATTAATGATATTTCTAGAAACGGTAGATAATGTAGCTGGTTGAAATTCAAGACAAGTTGACTTTTTTTTTCTGTAATCGACATCTTTGTTGATCAATAAAGATTTTGAATATTTTTTTTTCTGGGATAGATTCCTAATGACCCATTCCTCGTCAGATCAATGTTAATAATTAAGACATTAAAGCCCCCTAGGATGTATGACGACAGCTCAGGTAGATCTGTTAATTCCTGCATGTGTTACTTTCACTTAAAACTTGAATCAGTTTTATTCCGTATTCCAAACCACATACAGATTTTTATTCTGTACAGCATATAATAATAATACCTGTTAAGTCAGGCCAGACACCTGTAGTCGGCCAATCGGAGGCCAGTATAGAGATACAGGTGTTACAGTACAGTATATTAATTATGCATTGTTTTATAAAATGCTAAAAACATCAATAACTGTTCTACTGTATGATGAGAATGATATCAGCTAAAAGCGAAAAACTCTTTAGATAATTATTTTACTGATGAATCCAATCACTCGTTTAGGTTTTGAATTTCTACTTGTTACAGATTCTCTGAAATTTTGCAGCAGTATAGTAGCAGGAAATGTAAATAATCAGATCTAGCCTTAATATGTAGAGTATATTGATGATAATTCATCAATATGTAGCATACAGTAGGTCTAAGCCACACATAGGTCATTGAACCGTTGGTGCTATCAATAACTATGACATTAGGTGCACTGGAGTAGTGCTAATGTATTTCTTAATTACGCTCAGCATATGGAAGATCAATTACAAAGCTACAATAGAAAAAAATATGAAACATAATTATGAAATTGAAAATTGCTTCCTTCCGGTGAATCAAGAATTGTGCAAATGGTCTTAGAGCTACTGTGTAGTGGCCCCTTGGTTTAAAGTATACATTGCATATTAATGAATGGTACTGTACAACTACATACAATCGTATAAATTTAATGGTAATACTGTACAGTAGTAGAATATTTTTAGAGCGCCTTCCACAATAAAATTGTCGAAGGGTGCTGACTGACAGTATCTGGACTGCCAACATATTGAAAAACATAAAAAATAAAAATAAAATAAATTTAACAAAATAAGAGTTAAAAGGACTATATAGTTAATTTTAGTCTTAGGAATATTATCTTTGTATTGTATATTTGTACTAGGATTTGACCCCAGTACCTCAGGCATGGGGATTTCTATGATTTGACGTAATCCTCTTTATTTTGAGTGAACACCCTATGATTTTAATAAACCAGAAGCCCCTTGTCTTGTTTAAACCTATACTGACCATATAAGGGCGGTTCACCTAACCCCCACCAGGACATTTAAGTTCCCATGGGCTTTCATACTGTACTGTATGTGGCTTGCCATTAAGTCAAAACCAGTGTCAGTGACCAAAAATTAATTTTGAATAAAGTTGAAAGATGATGAGTCATTCACTGGAATCCAAACTTATAAGAAGTATTACAGCTTCTCTGTACTAAAGTATATATTACTGCCACATTCTTATGCTAACTACTCAGTTTAACAATTAGCGACAGTAGCCTACTGCAGTATAGGCTGGTTTTGGGATGGCAAGCCTCATACAGACAGGTGTACAGTAAATACTGGGCCTGACTGGCATTGGAAGACAAGCAAACACCAAGTTACAGCTCCACTCTTAATTGTACAATGGTTTTTCTCCAAAGTAATATAAAAGCATTTGAAAATGATTTAACCATAAAAATATATTAAGCATAAATTGTATTTATTTAAACAGTATTATTATTATTGCGGGCATGCAAAGTCAGCATGCAGTGGCGTTGAAAAAGAGTTTGTACATTTGGTTGAAGAAATAAATATCAATGAAGAAGAAACAAATTTAGTGAGGCAATCCAAGGTGAAGCTGTAAATGCCTAAAGCCAGGCTCTGAAGGAAAAAGTAATGTTTTGATACTGATTTTTCTAAGACATGAAAAGCATATTTGATGAAAAACTTTGGACAGTTAATGAGATACAGATTTTTGAATATTTAAAAACTGGGGAAAAGGTGGGGGGGGGGAGGGTGGTTACTGTACGGCC